TGGCGAAGTAGCTAATTGGCAAAAATACGTCATTTCAAGACATTACACTCACGGCAAACAAACTCTTATATTTCTGGATTCCCAAGATTCTCCTTCCTTAAAATGGACCAAAACCTCACAGCTCATCTTATACACCAGTAGGTATTGTATGAGAACAAACAATGAAAATATGTTAAAACACTAGAACCATGTTCGATATGAGGACTCTGAAAGAGTGTGCCTTCTGGGCTGTAAGAAGGTGTAATTCAAAGACAGCCCGACGTTTTGCATTTTACGAATGATCAACTGGTGACATGTCTGTGGGCCTGGGTTGTAAACCGTTACGTGTATCAGGACATTCAAAATTTTACTCCCCAACAACGAAGTATATTTCCACTAAGTAGGTCGTATTGTTAATTATCATCCTAGCGATTATGAAAGTTGAAATTATTCGTTGCTTATGCTCCACATAATCGTCAAAACTGACATCTTTAAGTTTAATATGTGGTTTATGGACTCATTACACACGGGGCTTCAAACAACAGAATACATGTAAGATTTGAGGCTTTCACGGCGGTGACTATGAAGAAAGCAGTCTTCTGGGATTTGGCACCGTGTATAAGTGGTGTTAACCGACGTTTCGGAGCAGTCTGCTTTTACCGGTTCTCACAGTCTCTTCGCTTGCAGAATTCTTATATTTTCTTCTACCCTGAAGATGGAGGCGATACGTTCCTCCGAAACGTCGGTTAACACCACTTATACACCGTGCCAAGTACCAAAAGACTGCTTTCTTCAACAGAATACATGCACTAAACGTGACATCCTAATACACAATGCAACACAGAGCAAGTAATATATACCTTTTTTCCTCTGGAGCTTGTCAAATCTTGAAAACGTTATGAAAATCGGCTTTATTTTCCGACAAAGAAGACACCTTCAAGCCTCTACGACTGTACATCGGCAAACTAACTGCCAAACATGCAGGACTCATAGCGGTATCCCGTGGAAACTCAGCTGCTGACCCCCTGACATCACCACAAACTACTGTACCCTCTATATTCAGCTGTTGACATACGATGGCCGACGTCAGTGCCGAGAGCTCTATCGGTAAGAAAGCATCCTATCCTATGCACATCCAGCCAAACAGGTCACACTTGTGTAATTTCTTCTATACAGTGCACAACTGGAACATGGGCTCTGACGTACAAAAGTGTTATGTTGGCAACTCTCAGATACTGAAATATAATGTTAGAGTTGGCAACATCATAGTAAACAATTTAAGAACTAGGGTATGTCTTGTTACCTAAGTGATGTTTGCTGTTATGTGTAACAACAGTATATTTATATTGTTAAGTGTTACTATGGTTATAAGCCTGTATGTATATATAAGGCGTACTTCTGTTTTTTCATTTCATTTCATTTCATTTATTTACATGTCAAAAATCCTTTACAAGTTCGTAAGACTCAGGATATAGACAATAGTCCAATATAACAATTATATAAAATAATTACAAAAAATATAATACATGTATCAAATAGCTCAGTCTTAATAAAGCAGGACTAGAGTGAACACTGATTCTCACTTATCATTCGATCCACGTGGAAGTAACAAAATAACAAAAAGAACATAAGCAGTGGGTATTCTCCACAAAATATTAAATAACGCGTAAAACAAAATCAT